TGGGATACGCGGCTCTTTAACCAGAGTTGAAGGGGGCGCATGTGCATAAGACCCAGCTGTAGCACAGCGGAGGCTGAAGCCATATAACCCAGCATCCTCTGAAACGATTTCAGGGATGTATGGGTACCCATCTGAAAAGAGGCGGCTAGGCGCTGAACACGGCGCGCACGCTGTGTGGATAAGCGAGCCGTCATAGTGACAGAGTTCAAATCTATTCCAAGGAACGAAATAGTTTGACTGGGCTGGAGAGCGCTCTTTGTCCAGTTGACAGAGAGTCCCAGCGCTTCCAGATGGTTGAGGAGAACTGTGCGGTGCGACAGTAGCTCCGTCTGGGAATCTGCTAGAATCAGCCAGTCGTCCAGATAATTCAGTATGATCATAGCAGCCGGGCTGACAGAGGATTCGAGGACGAAACTGTAATCGATAGCCGTTCTTTATTATGCTTAAAACCCACGGGGAGATGCCGGGGATGGCTTCCCACGCTTCGCAGCATGCGGCTAGTGGTTGAATGGCAATTTCGCCCTGATTGCTGCACATAGCGGGCTGGACACTGTGTGTGGGCGCGCTTAGAGTGAGTGTGGCAACGGGACTTACACTCAGAGAGGAGTTTATGGGCCGTGAGACAGAGCGGGCAGAGGGGGGACACGCGCACGGGCTCGTGGGCGTGCTTATGTTCTCTGCTACTGGAGCGGAAAGAGCTCGCTCCGTGAGAATGGGCTCTGTGAGAGACCCTGGGCATATGGTGCTTGTGTGTGTTAGTGAGCACATGCTTGTGGGCACATATTTTACACTTGAGGCTTTTATGCTCTTTTTGTGAACTCTCTGGGTAGCCGTGAAAACGGCTTTTAGTCGCTCGCAAGCGGGCAGGGAAACCGGCTTGTTTGTGGCGGTAAACTCTACTGAAGTCAGCGGTGAGACGGGGACTAACAGTGGGCGAAGCTTTGACGGCGGTCCGGCCGCGGCGGGAGAAAGCCGTCTTTTTCTCAGCTGTGCTAGGCAGACTTCTGTTGATCGGGCTTCAGCGCGATCTTGGGTCGAGGCCCCCGGGGAGGAGGCTGTCTGCGGCGGCTGTCTGAGCGAGAATGAGGGCGGCCGCCCTGTCTACGCTGGGGCTGCTGAGCTTGCTGAGGCGGGCGCTGCTGTGGGGTTCTGGCGGGCGGCTCGTGAGAGCGGCCCGTCGAAGAGCTCGAGCGGCGGGGCAGGAACAAGTTCATGGCCTGAGTCGCTTTCTGTACCTCGGAGAAGCGGTCAACGATGCCCGTGACGGCAGATCCGAAGAGCCCGGTAGGAGAAATAGGCGCGTTGAGGAACACGGCGCGTTCTGACTCTCCCATGTCGGTAAGCGTGAGCCATAAGTGTCTCTCGGCGACACAGAGGGCGGCCATGCATCTCCCCAGGGCTTGTGCGGCGGCTTTAGTAGCGCGAAGGGAAAGATCCGTAGCGCTTCTCAGATCCGAAAGGACGGGCGGTTTCCTCCCGCTGCTCGCCATTTCGCACAAGATGTCGCTCTGGAGCACCTGGAGGACAGACATGGAATGCAGCGCTGAAGCGGCCTGACCGGCGGCGGAATAGGCGCGGGCATGGAAATTAGAGGTCGCTCTGCACGCTTTAGAGGGAAGCGTATGAGAAGAACGCCATCTAGCAGAGGGCGGGCAGAGATGAGCGGCGACCGAGTCCTCGACGGGCGGCATGGCAGTATAACCCTTCTCGGCGGCTCCGTCCACTGAGCGCAGCGAAGCGGACACATCGGAGCGATTACGAGCCGAAAGAGGAGCATTCCAGGACTTCGTGAGCTCGTTGTGAAGCTCAGGCAGGAATGGTGCAGCCCGGCTGCAGGCGGGGGCCGGGCGCCGGTGCAGGAACTTCCCATCCATGCGGTTCGGTGGTTGCTCAGGGGGAGGAGACCACTCGAGACCCAGGCGGCTAACGGCCTGTGAAAGGAGGCGCGTTAGTTCCTCTTCGATGCCGGCGCGGGTTCCCGCAGACTCTCTCGTCGATGAGCCGATCGACGACCAATCCTCGCTGTCAGAAGCGTGCAGCGAACAAGAGTCCTTCTCATCCGCGGTGTCATCGGAGGCGACAGAGCGGCCACTCGGCGGCAACTGTAAGTCCTGCAGGGGCGGAGAGGGAGAGCGGTCGGTGGGCGGCGGCCCACATGGATCCGCAGGGGGCTCCGGCGGCCTCTGGGAGCGGCGTTTCTTCTTCCGCGGCGAAGTGAGAGGCGGCGCTGGAGCGGTTTTGACCGCCTGTAGTCGAGCCCGCAGGGATGACAGCGGCAGGTCCTCGCAGTGGTCGCATCCTCCGTTGGCGAGGGCGAGCTCTGCGTGTTCCACTCCGAGACAGAGAGCGCAGATGGGGTGGCGGTCTCCTTCATCGAGTGGAGAGCGGCATGAGCCGCAGGAAATACGAGGCATCTTTAAAAAGACGCTCGGCTCTTTTAGGAGTATGGAATAGTAAAAAGGATACGCGTCGGATGGCGCTAGCTTGCTGGGCGGCTGAAGGTGGCAGACGGCCGGCTTCCTCAGACTCCGGAGCTCGCTAGAAGGTGCCTTCTCGACAACGGCGGCTTCTTCCCAGGACAGCGGATGCGTGTAGCTCGCTGAATGAAAAAGAATCAACGAACGAGCTGGGAGAGCGACCTTTATACACTGTAGCCACGCCCCTTTTGGCGGGCTGTGACGCAGTGAGCGAGCGCCGTCCGCTCATTGGCCGCGGACTCAGCGCCGCTCTCCCATAGGTTCGTGCATTCTCTCTGAGCGAACCAATGAGCCGCTAGCTAGCCCGCTCATGGTCTGCCTCAGAAGAGACTGCGTTGACAATGATTACAAAATTATGGAATAATTTTTTGGCTTCAACTTCTCAGCAAAGATGAATCTTTCCCGTAGCGTAAGCTAGCTTACGCAATACGAGAGAACCTCTCGTAAGAGAACGTTATGGTACTTTAGAATGTTTTTGTGCCTTCTGTGGGGCTTAACAATAACATAATAATATACGCACAATATCGGATTTGGATCGGCCTCCTCTGATCGATACCCGATCCTGCAAAAATGGCTGGATCGGAGCCGATACCGATCCTGAGTATCGGATAGGGACATCCCTAATCAGAACCCCTGCAATACACCTCTTTGCCCTGTTCCTCTGTAGCCTTCGCCCCAGTCTTTGTCAGTCTCATGACACCTGAAAAATGTTATCATTCATCCATTATGTTAGTCTATAGGTTTGACTACACATGTGAGGTATTAATGCCTGCACTGATATAAGGAAGAGTATTGAACATTGACTACTGAGCTGATCTCACTGCTAAAAAAAAGTCAAATCATGTTTCTATTTAATGATCTGCAGATGTTTTTGTTAGGGTTATGACTGAGATATAATATAAATAACAAAAAAATATAAATATTATATTAAAATTGATATTAAAAATAATAAACTTAACAAGCAATGATTTTTCAGCTTTTCTTGTTTTCTTACAGCGCACCACACACTCAAACACCATTTCATATACAGTATGAAAGGAGTGGGTTCTGGACTGAACGAAAACATAATTTATCCAAAATATTATAGTTTTTAATAATTTTTTAATAAGATACAATTTGCAGTTAGATTAATGTGCACAACACTTTCCTTAAAATATATTTATAGTTTTTTTATTATTGTTATTGAATTAATAGTACATATTAGTAGGCTACCTATACCCCTGGTTTCACAAACAATTTTAAAACCTAGTCCTAGACCAAAATGTCTGTTCCAACTAAATCAACTTGCACTTACTGATCTTAAAATATATCACTGCCTTTGTTTTGTCTCAAGATGAACACCAGTATGGCTAACGCTTTTTTTTTTCTAAGCATGTTTATGAAAATTATTTAAATGTCCTAATTATTTTAACTCCTTCTATGTAAAGCACTTTGACCGTTGTGTATGAAATGTGCTATATAAATAAACTTGCCTTGTCTAATTGAACTATGGACTAATCCTGGTTTAGGCTAAACCCTGTCCCTGTCTGTGAAACCGGAGGCCATAATGTCCTGGACATAAATGGCACCTATTCGTTGAAACAGCCCATTAACATTTGTTTACATCTATTGTTTTCTAGTCTGACAAGCTAACTTTAACTATTTTTTTATATTAGAATACGCCGACTGGAAAAAAAAATAGGAAAGCAAACTACCAATATCAACACTAATGTAACAAACTTATGCTAATAATGGGTAGCAATAGATTGTAAATGGCAGACCTCTTGGAGCTTTTCTTAATCATGTTACAACATCACGTTGCAAGCAAATTTACACAAACTAATTAACGTTAACTGGCGTAAAATGAGAGTTTACACAAATCCACTTATTCCATACAGGTGACCTCTCTCCTCATTTCACTGCTTTCTCACTTTATCACTCATATCTGATGGGAAAAGCGTATTCAAGGGAATCGCGCGACCCACTCAAGTTTTAGCGAACCAGGCAGAGAGGTTGTAAAACGCCTACCCGGTTGTAAAACACCCCCAAATTGAGGCACGCCCCTTGTTGTTCTGCAGAGACCTCCTTCTCGTTTATCCCGCCCCTCGGATTGAGCCCTGTCAATGAAGAGTTTCCAGACCTAACATCTTGATGTAGGTCTGGCATGCCAGGCTAGTAAACGCCCACATTTCTAAGACTTTTCTTAGAATTTTGTCCCTAGGGGCTACTCTTTGCATTAAGATTCTTTATGAATTTTGGTCCCTGGTGATTGGTTTTAATGATCTGCTAATACTATGACTGTTTTTTGAGTTCTAATGCAAAAGTGCAAAAAGACTTTGGTTAAGTCTAGTTTCTTTGGTCATATGAGAGATATACACGGTCTTGTATTTTGTAATACTTTTATTTTTTATTTTATTTTTTTTACTTGTCACTTTGGTTTTCTTTGTGGCATTTCAAAGGTTGTAGCCTAATTTTTAAGAGTGGTGCATAGACTTTCCACTGTCGCTTTTGTCAATCTCTGTCTCTATATATATTTCTGTTGATTTTTCTTTTTCCTTTTTCTGTCAGGCAGAGTGAAGTAAAGACGATGGAAGACAGAAGCTTATTGCAGAATATTCGCAGGCCTCCCAAACTCAGCACACCTGTCCTAAGTATTCCCAATTACTTTGTTGTTCTGTGTGTGAGTGTAATATGTTGATGTGATGCTTCATTAAATTACGCTATTAATTGTGATCCTTTTTTGAAAATGATTTGACAGTTATAGAGAGCTACATAGCTAAAGTGTGTGAGAGCATTCACTATATGATATAGGATATACAAACACAAATATTATGTGTAAACCTTGTTCAAGTATAGATAAAACTAGAGTAACTATTATAAAACTGAGAAATGTGTGAAAAAAAATTATTAACTGATTTAATTGTTTCACAGTAATCTCAAAACTCTTTGTGACTGTCCTGCCCATCGCTCAGGTATCAATTGGTATGTATTTATTATTCCAGCCGAGTCTTTATAAACATAATTTAGTTAATTGTGGGCATATAAAAAAGCCTATCATCTCCCTTATTTTTCACAGGTGCAATACATCTGCATGACTGTCCAAAGCAGCCCTATATTCCTATTTATCTGCTGGTGTCAGGTGTGTTTGCATTGGTACTCGGTCTGCTGTCCTGCCTTCCATGCACTCAGGAGCCAGAAGATGGCACTCAAACTCCTTTGAGTAGTCTCTGCACTGCCTGGAATTCACTGGTGTCCCTTTTCCTCTTCTGCTGGTTCATCGCTGGTAAGATATCATGTTTTTTATTAACTTTGATGTGAAATTCAGTTTTATATAGCTACTACAACTCTATTTTAAACCAGTGTACTGGGTAAAAAAAGAGTTAATATTCAGGATGATATGCAAGTGAATATTGGCTTTGATTAGTCGATAAAAAATCATTCGTTTTTTAGAGATTGACAAATAATGTTATGATTGAAATCACAATAAAGATTAGCTCTGTTGTTATTTTTTAATATTATTATTATATTTTTATGTGAACAAATAATTCTAACCGATAAAAAAACTGAAAATTATTTACAAGTTTTACAACTGCTTACATACACATAAGTTTCATAATTTTAAGGTACATTAAGTAATGTTTTCATTAAATTTTGTGGATGAAATTACAGTTTTGAACATTATACTAACTGTTTATATTACATTTAGTATAACATTTATATAACTAACTTGAAAATACATAATATGCAGTACCTGTCAAAAGTTTGAAAACATTAATTAGGGCCCGAGCACTAACAGTGCGAGGACCCTATTGAAACTGTTAGGATGATTTTTTTAGGGCCCGAGCACTAACAGTGCGAGGACCCTATTGAAACTGTTAGGGTTATTTATTTATTTATTAGGGCCCGAGCACTAACAGTGCGAGGACCCTATTGAAACTGTTAGGGTTATTAGGGCCCGAGCACTAACAGTGCGAGGACCCTATTGAAACTGTTAGGATTATTATTTAGGGCCCGAGCACTAACAGTGCGAGGACCCTATTGAAACTGTTAGGATTATTAGGGCCCGAGCACTAACCAAATTTGGCACGCATGTCAGGACTGGTGAAAAAATTTGTGTTTCGCGGATGGGCGTGGCAAAATGGCTCCCTAGCGCCACCTAGAAAATTGGAAAAAATTAGCCCCTCGTCCACGTTTAACCTACAAACACGAAATTTGGTGGGGACGTGTATCATATCAAGACGCACAAAAAAGCCTCAAGAAACCATACCCTAAACTCAACAGGAAGTCGGCCATTTTGAATTTGGCGCCCATTTTGGGACGATTTACAGTAAAAGACGATTCAGTACTTTAACGAACTCCTCCTAGGGATTTAGTCGGATCGACTTCAAATTTCTGCTGTGCCTTCTAAAGGCATTGACGATGTAAAGTTGTGCTATCTGCGCATTTTCGTCGATGGGCGTGTCCATGGCGTCGATGATTCGCCATGAAACAGGAAGTTGTAGTAACTTGGCTGTAAATGCCCAGATCTGCACAAATTTTACACATTTGACAAGAGTCCCGCCCTGAACAAATCTACATGCTGACATTCACCCACAGTAATAGCGCCACCTGCTGGCAACAGGAAGTGACCTTTAACGAAGCAGCCCCCGTCGCATGTTTGACCGACATGTACGAAATTTCTGTGACACATCTACCATGTCCAGACGCACTGAAAAGTCTCTTGGAGCGATGCCCTAAACTCAACAGGAAGTCGGCCATTTCGAATTTTACCGCCATTTTTGGATGATTTACTCATTACTTACTTTAACGAACTCCTCCTAGGGCTTTAGTCGGATCGACTTCACATTTCTGCTGTGCCTTCTAAAGGCATTGACGATGTAAAGTTGTGCTATCTGCGCGTTTTCGTCAATGGGCGTGTCCGTGGCGTCGATGATTCGCCATGAAACAGGAAGTTGTAGTAACTTGGCTGTAAATGCCCAGATCTGCACAAAATTTTACACATTTGACAAGAGTCCCGCCCTGAACAAATCTACATGCCGACATTCACCCACAGTCATAGCGCCACCTAGTGACAGCAGGAAGTGACCTTTAACGAAGCAGTACCCGTCGCATGTTTGACCGACATGTACAAAATTTCTGTGGTACATCTACCATGTCCAGACACACAGAAAAGTCTCTTGGAGCGTTGCCCTAAACTCAACAGAAAGTCAGCCATTTCTAATTTTACCGCCATTTTGGGATGATTTACTCATTACGTACTTTAACAAACTCCACCTAGGGATTTAGTTGGATCGACTTCAAATTTCTGCTGTGCCTTCTAAAGGCATTGACGATGTAAAGTTGTGCTATCTGCGCGTTTTCGTCGATGGGCGTGTCCGTGGCGTCGAAGATTCGCCATGAAACAGGAAGTTGTAGTAACTTGGCTGTAAATGCCCAGATCTGCACAAAATTTTACACATTTGACAAGAGTCCCGCCCTGAACAAATCTACATGCCGACATTCACCCACAGTCATAGCGCCACCTGCTGGCAATAGGAAGTGACCTTTAATGAAGCAGCGTAGCAAATTCACAGCCGCACCGGCTGAGCTGCAAAATATGCAACGCGGCCGCCTCACACCCCGACGCGCTACAGGTGCGAGGGCCCGCCCATCGCTGCTTGCAGCTTTAATTATTATTTTTTTTTATTTTTTCTGCAAAGTAAGCGCCATTTTCGTGGCCGCAACATGCTCAAAAACTCACCAAATTTGGCACGCATGTCAGAACTGGTGAAAAATTTCGTATTTTGTGGGTTTCGCCGATGGGCGTGGCAAAATGGCTCCCTAGCGCCACCTAGAAAATTGCTAAAAATTAGCCCCTCGTCCACGTTCAACCTACAAGCACGAAATTTGGTGGGGATGTGTATCATATCAAGACGCACAAAAAAGCCTCAAGAACCCATACCCTAAACTCGACAGGAAGTCCGCCATTTTGAATTTGGCGGCCATTTTGGGACGATTTACACACTCCGTACTTTAACTAACTCCTCCTAGGGATTTAGTCGGATCGACTTCAAATTTCTGCTGTGCCTTCTAAAGGCATTGACGATGTAAAGTTGTGCTATCTGCGAGTTTTCATCGATGGGCGTGTCCGTGGCGTCGATGATTCGCCATGAAACAGGAAGTTGTATTAACTTGGCTGTAAATGCCCAGATCTGCACGAAATTCGACACATTTGACAAGAGTCCCGCCCTGAACAAATCTGCATGCTGACATTCACCAACAGTCTTAGCGCCACCTGCTGGCAACAGGAAGTGACCTTTAACGAAGCAGCCCCGGCCGCATGTTTGACCGACCTGTACGAAATGTCTGTAGTACATCTATCATGTCCAGACGCACAGAAAAGTCTCTTGGAGCGATTCCCTAAACTCGACAGGAAGTCCGCCATTGCTATTTTTACCGCCAGTTTTGGATGATTTACTCATTACGTACTTTAACTAACTCCTCCTAGGGATTTAGTCTGATCGACTTCAAATTTCTGCTGTTTCTTCTAAAGGCATTGACGATGTAAAGTTGTGCTATCTGCGCGTTTTTCGTCCATGGGCGTGTCCGTGGCGTCGATGATTCGCCATGAAACAGGAAGTTGTTGTAACTTGGCTGTAAATGCCCAGATCTGCATGAAATTTGACACATTTGACAAGAGTTCCGCCCTGAACAAATCTACATGCCGACATTCACCCACAGTCATAGCGCCACCTTCTGGCAACAGGAAGTGACCTTTAACGAAGCAGCCCCGGCCGCATGTTTGACCAACCTGTACGAAATTTCTGTGGTACATCTATCATGTCCAGACGCACAGAAAAGTCTCTTGGAGCGATTCCCTAAACTCGACAGGAAGTCCGCCATTGCTAATTTTACCGCCAGTTTTGGATGATTTACTCATTGCGTACTTTAAACAGCATGTAGCCTTTAATGCTTTCATAAATTTACTGTCATAAATAATAAAGCAGGGCTTAAAGTATTCCGGCACCATTCCGGATCTCCGGCGTGGAAAAAAATATTTTCGCAATTTATTTTTGTCCAGCTTTAACGTGTTAAAATATTTTATGCAAACGCAGCATCCATTCTTTCTGTTAAGACCATGCTCTTATTCACGCAAATGCTTTAAACCACTCATGCGCGACAAGACAAAAGAGAACGCGTTGTCAGTGCGCGCGCGGACGCACACACACACACATACACAAGACGCATGCTAGTATCGAGTTCTCTCTCGCGCTTGAACGAACAATAACACACGCATTTATGCCAAAATGTCAGTTTTGTCGAGCATCCTCACAAGAACAGTCTTAAATGAGTTAAATAAAATCTTAAATGGAAGTAAATAGTAATGAGAGAATGAGATGAGTGAGATCATGTCAGCAGCAACAGATCTTAAAGTGACAGGAGCCATTAATTCTGTATGTCGGTAAAGTTAACCAACAAAGAGAACAGAGAAAATTAATAACTGCCCTTGACTAAAGAACGCTTGTAGCTTTGATAAGGATTAATCTATATTTAATTTATAATTTATGCAGTGCAGACTGTTTTATAACCTTATTCAATTTCTGTATGGTACAGGTAAATTACATGTATTATGGGTTTAAGTGAAGATTGTTCTATAGTGAGGATGACTGATATTTTTTAAAGCCTAATGTTTAAAATTTGGGGGAAAATAATTTTCTTTGAGACATCAGTAGCTATAATATTAATGATACTGTCTTTCATTCATAAAAAGAAGATACAGCTGTAATACTTGAAAATAAATGGTGCCAGATAAGTCCATCTGTGGTCATCAAAAAAAAAATCAGGCTCAGGAATTTTTTTCACTTTAAACCCTGATAAATTCTTTGAATTGTATTAAATATTTTCTTCAAATAGTAAAATAAATTCAAACTGATTTTGCTGTGGTACAGAAATTGGTACCTAGAACCATACAATTATACAGACCAGCGGCACTACTCTGTATTCCCTATGAGTGCTTATGTACAAGTGCTGGCCCGCGTTGCTGGCCGCCTTATTTTCCAACTTATCTGGGTTCCCCGGGAAACCATGGGACTCATGAGTGGATGCTTGGCGCGCACGGCGTTGACATAGGCTACGTTCACACTGCAGGGCTTAATGCTCAATCCGACCTTTTGTGATCTCCTGTGTGAACGTGAAATGACCCAGAAGTGACCCGCATGCGCAGAAGAGTAATCAACGGTCAACGACGTCACTTGTTGTTTGCGGAATAGTTCTTTTTTTCCATATTGTTGCAAGCTTTTGTTTTATTATCATTATTGCCACAGCCCACAACACAGACAACAATTATTTTATCGACGAGCAAAGTTTGCACATAAATGTAAGATTTTTCTGATCCTCACCGACCTCGTCATAAAACCCATTTAATTGATAGTGCGCGTGCGTCCTCGGCGCTCCTTGCTTTGTCACCGGCGGCTGCGGTGCGACACTAGTGGCTGGTGTTGCCAGATTGGGTGTTTTTTCGCTGCATTTTAAGGCATGTATACATGTGTTTTAGCCAGGTTTTCGCCTGGAAGGCTCTATAGAAATCAATCTGGCACCCTACTGTACGAAGTTAAACTGACAGAGAGCGCACGTTCACAGACACCAGAATGAACGTGTATGTTCACAGTAATGTTCATCAGGCAGTAATACAGTATATGAACGCGTTCAGGCACAACACTGGGGAAGAGACAGGTTTGCAGCGGCCCATAACAGTGCAGAAACGCGTTGGAGTTAGCGTGTATTGGCTAGCTACAGGTGCTTGCAATGACGTGCGGGTCGGATATATGTGACCTGGCCGTTCAGATTGAAGTCGCATTTCAAAAGATCGGATTCATATCGGATTTAGACCACATACCCAAGTGGCCTGGGTCGCATTTGAAAAGATCGGATCTGTGTCGTTCAGACTGTCATGAAAAAATCAGATACAGGTCGCATAGGGGCAAAAAAAACGGAATTAGGTCGTTTCAGCCTGCAGTGTGAACGTAGCCATAGGGTTCCCGTAGCGTAAGCTAACTTGCGCAATACGAGAGAACCTTCCGTAAGAGAGCGTATCGGTTACCTAACGTAACCTCAGTTCTCTCTAGAAGAGGGAACGAGTATTGCGTAACCTGCCGTGTTCACGCCACAAGCGATTTTCGCTTCAGTCGACGAAAGCCAGAGAAATAGTCTCCGAGCCCTGCTTATATATGCTAAGCCACGCCCATACTGGCGGGCTATGATGCTGTGAAGGTGCGAGCGCCCTTCATTGGACGTGATGTCACGTCGGGCTCAGTGATAGGCTGCTGCAGTTCTCGCAGGGCAGCCTATGAGCACGCTAGACAAGCCTGCTCTAGATCTGCTATCTGGTGCATTGCATTGGCATTTAATACAAAATTAAGGGCAATTTTTTGGCTTCAATATCTCGAAAAGATTCATCTTTCCTGTAGCGTAAGCTAACTTACACAATACTTGTTCCCTCTTCTAGAGAAAACCAAGGTAACTGATACGTTTTCTGTTTAGGTGTATAGATCCATGTCAAGCCAAGCCTAGCCAAGTCTTTGTATAATTTGATTTTGTTCACATTTGTCTTCAATAAAATACTGCACATGGGTAATTCAAATTTGCCACCAGTGGATTAGCTTACATTATCTTAGCACCAAATCAGCATATTAGAACGATTTCTGAAGGATCTGGAGCAATTGATAATGTAAAAGATAATGTAAGCTAATCACATGACTTTTTTTATCACATGACTGCTGAAAATTCAGCTTTAACATTGCAGGAATAAATTACATTTTAAAATGTATTCAAATAGAAAACGGTACTTTTGATTTTGCTAATAAATTGCAATATTACCCTTTTGACTGTAATTTTGATTGAATAAATGCAGTCTTGGTGAGCATAAGAGACCACTCAAGTATAATAAAGCTGCTTTTTTGGCCACAAGGATATTTCAACATAGCCTGATAATACCAGACTCTGCTACTTCACTTTGCTTCGTAGACAGAGTCTGGAATGGCATAATAGAGAAGTGTTTTCTCTCTCGCAAGGGGCGCTTCTCTGAAGTTTAAAATCATTGGTTACCCATAAGCCAATCAGATAAGTTTATTTATGACGTATGTTATGCGCCGACACGGCCGCATCGAGACATTATGCATCGAACTAAAATCTATGATCGAACTTCCACTGTAAACAGGGAGCGGCGCTTTTGTAAGGGCTGCAAAATGTGTGCCAACCGGGAATGAACAATTCACAAACTAGGTTATTTATATGAATTACTAAGTTGCGGCCGCCCCGCAACGTCGGCGTGCCCACTGCCCCGCTCTCATGAGTCATGACTGATTTAGCTTCTGCCGCCCCGCAGCGCCGCGAGGACAAGACGCTGCTCTCGCGAGTCATGAATAGGAAGTTCATTTTACTGATTTTCTGAGTCATTCGAGTCATTTCGTTTATTTAAGTGGCTTAATGTTATAATTTTAACAGCCAAATTCCCCGATCACATCCACCTACGCAATGTTGATCATATTCTGAATTAAGAAATCATAATGCAGAAAAAATTATTTACAGGCAACATAAATAATCACTTTACCTTCCGAGTCTTACATTCATTTGTCACGTGACATACACAATGAACAGATCGTTCATGAATCACATATCTGGGACTAATGCAGAAGGATGTCGAAACGAAATATGGTGGATTATTATTATGATAATAATAATATGATAATAAGAGCGCACCAGGAGCGTTCACAGCTGAGGAGGCCGACTTTCTTGTCATGGCCATAAAAGACGGAGAACTGACGTTGAATGGGGGTAAGTTATGTCCTTATAGTTATGGCCAAACAGGTCTGATCCGTCATTACTACAATTATTAGCCTGAAAAAATTGGGTAGCCTAAATGCTTAAGCTTAAAGTGTTCATATTTTTTCCTTGTTATAATGATTTGCAAAAATAAAAACGGCTGCATCTGTGTTGATGAGAGAATCAAAAGTGTATGCGCGTTGTGCAAGCTAGTACATAAAGGCCAAGCATGCTGGTTTTTGCTGGTATACGTTGCAAATAGAGGGGCAGAAGTGCACATGCCGGTCCTAGCTGTAAACACTGATGATGCGAGCGAAATACCGGAGTGAACATGGCTGTAAACGACCTTTGCTTCAGTTTGAAAAACCCCGGAATGTTCTCCATAACAGAGCGAATTGCATCCCGTGTCTTGTTTCCCATTTCTGCGATTGTTTCGGTTTTCGATTTCTCTAACCTACAATGTACACTCGGCGCTTAGTGTCTACGTCACGGCTCTCAGCCCGCCCTCTGTTCGTTGATTGGCCGGTGGAAAACTGAAAGATAGGCCGCTATCTCAGACTCACTACAGGAGCGAAATGAAATTAGCGGAAGTAGGAAGTCTGACGTAGTCAGGCTAATTTCAACATAGAATGTGCAGATAAGTGCAGACAAAGGCTCCTCGGGTCAAAGAACATGTATATCTTTGTATATCACATGATCACATTTCTATCATTATATCACATTTATTAACAGATATGTCAAAAGTACTATCCAGTTCCAGTTTTTTTAATTATTTACCGTGAAGTGCTTCATATCACTCTTCACCCTTGTCTCCCCTACAGGTAATGTATGGATCTACTCTATTTACGACATTAGTGCCGGTGATTGCAATAAGACACTGTACCTATTTGCTTTCTGGACCACCACACTGGTCTACATATTGCTGGGCATCGTCTTCTTAGGAGGTTGCTGTATGTTATTCTGCCTGTGTTTGTGTGGAAGGAGTGGAAATGTGGATGATGTATGATGGACAGGGCCAACGACAGTCAACATTAATATTCCTAAAAATAATACACTTATGGACTTTAGCAGTTTCTAAATCTTTTTTTTTTTTTTTTTTTTTTTTTGGCCTTATTTGATGTTGTGCCACTTACTCTCTGTAATTCTGGTGTATAATTGTTGGGCACCAGAAGCTTTTGGATAAGGAATATTGCAAGTTTATTAACTAAACTGGTTTACTGTCTTTTATAATGGCATGTGTCAGATTTTGCATTTGAGAATATTGTGGAATGCTGATTAAAAACAAAAAAGATGAATAAATTGATATAAAATATCACATTTCTTATTATCACTTTTTCATTTATGTGTTGTTAATTATTACACTTGTTCTCTGGAATACTTGCATTTTACACAAATATTTTGTACACTGACACTAAACTGTATAATTGCCCTGGCACCCTGTTTCCTTGATAACTGTGCTGCCGTCAAACATGTTACTATGATGGCTGGTGCCTCTATTTTCACGTTCCGTGTGATCGAATCACCAATTACCAGGGCACAATCAACAGTTTTATCAGTGGGTGTTTCACTGAGTGGGGCAAATCGATTTGTTAATCTGATTCGGAACGGAATGTAATGTAATCGGAACGGAAAAGTGTTTTTTTGATTCGTGACAAGAGCGATACCTTACTGTCACCCATTTGCCTTGCTGCACAGGCAATAATTAATTCGGAACCAAATCATGTAAAGAGTTCACTATGCTAGGCGCATCCAAAATAGCACAATTGCACAATAGTCTCTTGCACAATTACTATCCTCAATTAAAGTTTGGATGCGTGTCTAGTTCTGAAATCTTCTCCGTCAGCCTGACTGTCTCCTTGCATTTATCACATATAAATCCTATATTGCCGACAGAGAATGCTACGGTGGCCGAGAGAGCTCACCACGCTGCAACCTGATGAAGACGCATGCAAATACAAAAAAATGTGTGCAAAAAATATAAAAACGCATGCAAATACAAAAAAACATCAGCAAATTAAGAAAAACATCTTCATCAGTTCAACAACACACGTGTGCTCCAAGTACTCACAACACAACCAAATACAGAAACGCGCTGCAAACGTTCACAACACCACCAAATACAGAAACGCGCTGCAAGTAACACGGTCCACAACGGAAATGTTTCCGGGGAACCAAATAAGTGACGGACCCGACTGGGACGTATAGCATACACAGGACGTGCTTACAGCAAAAAACCTTTATTAACAAGAAGTCAAAGCCTATATATTTTTTTTTATAAATAAACTATACTATTAAAATAATATTGTATATATAAATAATATTATAATATTATAATTTTTTTATAGTTCATCTATACTCCTTGCTTACTCAAAATTCGACTTTATTTTATTTAATTTCTTTTGACTTTTCCCCCGCAAAACACAGAGATTCAGTTTATTATGACATACAACTTGTGTACAATATACAACATGTTTTAACAATATTTTCAATGTCATCACAATACAAATGAGAAAAGAACAATGATCTGAAAACTAAATAAATAAAAAAAGATCTAGAAGAACATGAAGGCAAGATATTAATCTATACATCAGTTACACTATACAAATAGTTTCATAAGAAAATTTTCCTAAAAATGTTAGGTAATGTATGGCACTGACATACAGATATATAAAACGGATATTTTAACAGATTTTTATGAATTAAAAATAAAAAAATAAATAATTTATTTGCAACCGTTATGTTAATCATTATATTTCTGTCGTTTCTGTCGTTAATCGTTATATTTCTATACAGCTGATTGACAAAGTGCTGCGTTGTCATAGGAACATCCTAGGTAAAAATAATTACATTACGTTGTCTGTTGTTGCTCCCTTCATCAAGTTCCAAACGGCTACATAAATGACACTGTAACAGTTCTGAAAGAATGTTACATTTCTTGTGCTGTAATTCAACTCCCCGCCTCAAGGGGGAGCTATAGAGGTTTCTTTGGGTAGGGCTATCCTTTTAAGAGAGACAAGTAAGAGTGTTTAGACAAGGGGGAGTATGAACAGACCCCCTTCAAACATTATCCCACGAAGTTCGTTCACGAGAGGCCGGGACAGAGAGGGGAGCGCGATCTGGAAAACGATTACTGTGATCTCTCTGAAATTTGCGCTAAGAGGAGAACGAAGTGCGAGTTTGTTGGTTGGTGAGTTGACTAAGAGGTGGTGGGGGGCGGCATCGGCCGACGGCCTGTATAGGTCCGGTAGCGGTGCTGCCTCACAGCTTCTGGTTGCTCATTAAACTAATAATCTGGATAGGCATGGCAGGGAGACAGGTGGATGGTATGGATTACAGTGAGGTAGAGGGAAATGGTAGTGATGAGAGGAGGGAAAGTGATTGGGAGGAAGTAGGGAGAATGCATAAGGATAAGAAGGATACTAGCCGTAAAAGAAAGGAAAAAAAAGGTAGTGCTAGTTCAAATGGGACGGAAAGTGAAGAAGATGTAGGGAAGGAATCTGCAGTAAGATTGTTTAATGTAGTGGTACGATTTGAGGGAGAAGGAGGAGTTAAAAAAAATGGATCCACTTAAGTTAACTAAAATAATAAGAGAAAAGGTAGGAGAAGTGAAGTATGCCAGAATTTTGGGAGATGGAAATCTTCTAGTGGGATGTAACAATGAAGTGCAGATGGAAAAAGCAAAGAAGATGAGTTGTATTGGAAAAACAAAAGTAGTAAAAGTAGTAAGAGTGGGGGAGAAAATAAATGCCGGAAGTAAGGGAGTGATGTATGGAATTCCACTTACTATAAATATGAAAGAGTTGGTGGAGAACTTAAGAATGAAGAACAGGTCCGTTAAAAGTGCAGTAAGAATGACAAGGGGGGTGGAGAAAGTAGAAACAGAATCTGTGTTGGTTGAGTTTGAAACAAAAGAGGTACCAAAAGAGGTATATTATGGATTTATGAGATACAGTATAAGAGAGTATGTACCCAAACCAATGAGATGTTATAATTGTCAGGAATTTGGACATATGGCTAAGGTATGTAAAGGAAAGAGGAGGTGTGCTAGGTGTAGTGGTGATCATGAATATGGAAAGTGTGGAGCGGAAGTAAGGCCAAAATGCTGTAACTGTGGAGGGAATCATAGTGTGGCATTTTGGGGATGTGAAGTGATGAAAAAGGAAGTCAAAGTACAACAGATCAAATTAAAAGAAAACATCTCTTATGTTGAGGCTGTTAAGAGAACAGAGCAGGAAAAGAAGAATCAGAGTGAAGAAAGTACAAAAAGGTTGAACAGGGAAGATCATCAAGGAAAAAAGGAAAAATGGGAGGAGAAGAAGAAAATAGTGACATTTATAGCAGGGGTGATAAATGCTACGGCTGAAGTCAGGTCTAAAACTGAAAGAATCCAGATTATTGTTAAAGCAGCAATTCACCACTTAGAGATGGCAGGATTAAAGTGGGAAGAAGTGAGGGATGAACTCAGTGTACAATCGAGTCAAGAGACAACATGTATAGGGTAGTAATTTTTGTAATGCTAATCCTTCAATGGAATGCAAGAAGCTTGATTGCAAATGGGCAGGACTTCAAACAATTTATACGGGATAGAAGAGAAAAGCCAGACGTTATATGCATTCAGGAATCCTGGTTAAAACCCAATTTGGACTTTATAATATATGGATACGTATCAGTTAGACAAGATAGGGAAAATGGTGGTGGAGGGGGATGTGTTACATTTATAAGACAAGGGATTTCGTATAGGGTGTTAGGTATAGGAAAGGAACAAGAATATGTAGTGGTAGAAATATGGAGTGAAAGGAAAAAATTGTAGTTATAAATTATTACAATCCGTGTAGGAAATTGGATATAAATAAATTTGAGGAAGTAGAGGGGAAAGACAATAATAATATTGTATGGTGTGGGGACTTCAATGCGCATAATTCATTGTGGGGTAGTGAGAAGATGGATAGTAATGGACAAGTAATTGAAGAGTTATTGGATGAGGAAAACCTAGTATGTTTAAATGATGGAAGTAAAACAAGGATAGAGGTTAGTACGGGGAAGGAATCTGTACTTGACCTTACACTGGTGTCTAGCAGTATGGCAGCGATATGTAATTGGAGTGTATATAAGGATGGGACAATAGGAAGTGATCACTACCCAGTATTATGTAAAATTAATATTTCATTACCTCAAAGTGTAGAGGAAAGAGGAGGAAGATGGATATTTGAGAAGGCTAATTGGGAACATTTTCAAAGAGAAAGTGATAGAAGTTTGAGCCAGATTGAGTCTAGTGATGATATAGAGATAATGGAAGATAAAATAAAGAAAGGTATAATAGCAGCGGCAATGGAGTCTATTCCAAAAAGTAAAGGTAAGGTAATGAGGAAAATTATACCATGGTGGGATGAGGAATGTAAAGAAGCAGTCAGAAATAGGAACAAAGCATTTAAAATAATGAAAAGAACTCATAATTTCAGGCACATGATTCAATATAAAAATGCTCAGGCAATAGTAAGGAAAACAATTAGACAGGCAAAAAGAACATATTGGAGGAACTTTTGTAGTTCAATCGGGAATACAACTCAGATTGGAGAGGTGTGGACAATGATTAAAAAGATGGGTGGTGAAAGGAGAGAATGGAGTTACCCAGTTTTGAGTAGTGGAAATGAAATTGCAGTGACAAATAAGGAAAAGGCTGAAATGTTAGCAAATACATTTGTCAATGTGCATAGCTCTAATAATCTATCTGAAGAAGGGAAGAGAGGCAGAGAGAAGACAAAATCTGAAAATGTAGAGATATTAAGGAAGATGGGAAAAGTAGAGGATGAACAAAATGTACTTTTTAACATGGGAGAATTAAAGAGAGCAATGGCCAAAACTGGGAAGACTGCGCCAGGGAAAGATGATATATGTTATAGCATGTTGAAACAGTTAAGTGAGGAGGGGAAGAATAAGTTATTGATGCTATATAATAAAGTGTGGGAGGAAGGGAAAGTACCAAAGAGCTGGAAGGAGGCAATTGTTGTGCCGATAAGGAAACCTGGGAAAGAAGCTAGTAAACCTACAAGTTATAGACCTATTGCTTTGACGTCTCATGTCTGTAAATTAATGGAAAGAATGATAAATGAAAGGTTAATGTATTTTATGGAGAAAAGAGGCATGGTAGTTGAGTGTCAAAGTGGGTTTAGAAGAGGTAGGAATACTATGGATGCAGTATTGTGCTTGGAAGATAATATAAGAAAAGCACAAGTAAATAAAGAGACAGTAGTGGCAGTATTTTTCGATGTAGAAAAGGCATATGATATGCTATGGAGAGAGGGACTAATGATTAAATTGTATAATATG